CATACTTGATTGTTACTTCTATAAATATCATGAGTGATTTGCACTCTTGAGCAAGTTTTAGATTTATATTCCTGAAGATTTGGTTATATATTGATTTACGTGTGTATACGTAAATATTTGTGTATATGTTACTATTTGTATATATAAAATAAACAAAATAATATTTCAAAATTATGAGCCCTCTAGGTTATTCACAAGTATTTTGGAATTAAGAACTGTCAATTACATAAATTATTTTTAAAGAAATAACACCAAACTTCTTATAATATGTTACTCATACCATATATAATGACTTCTTAATTTTAAATTAAACTATACATAATGCTAAGTCTGCTTTGATTATAACATTCTATTGATAATTGCCATGAATAAACGTGGAAATAAATTACTGATCAGTGAACTGTTGAGGAATGAAAACGTGAGATGAAACTGAGATTAAGAAATCAGACTAAGAACGGCATGTAAAACGCGTAAATGTTTCACTAGATACCAAAGAAGCCCAGTCCTTTATTCTGTTTCTGCAAGAAGATATGTATAAAGAAAAAGAGAAAAGTAAGGAGAAGGTCTCTGATACATGTATACATACTACATAGGTAGAGGCTACAGAACCAGAAAGGAGATATATATTTTGACACACTGTACTATAAGTCCTGCCTATTTAATAATGTGATGTGGGAAAAGACTTTTTTTCATAGAAGAAACTATCTTTAACGGTAAAATTATTATGAGCAATTATTTAATTATTTTTAAAATAAATTTAAATTATACTGAATTTGAAGAGCTGATGGAATTACATTCAAATATTAAGATAGAATTGTTTTATTGAATCCTGATAAAGATGGATACTAACTCAAAATTTGTAATTAATGGAATTTCTCTTCACATGACTGATAAATATGTCAAATAAGACCATACATAATCTTTCACATGTTTTTCTGCACCTATGTCCAACTCTTCTAAATCTTAATACGGAAATTTCACACAAAAAAGTTTTAAACTAGTATGTTAACAATATTAAAAGGTACTTTTGGTAGAAATTATTTCTATGCATAGTTTATATACGGTTGGGGCCATTTTTTTCTTTTTCAAGAATATGGTGTTTCTGCCTTTCTTAATTATTAGAGACTAGTTAAAATTCCTCTAGATGATACAGAAGTTTGCATAATTTGAGACTCTGTATCAGAAAAATATAGCATGTGCATAACAAAAAAAAAACGAGGGAAGAAATGTTTTTCATTGAAAGAACAATGTCACTTAACAAAAGGAAAAAAAACTAGTAAACAATGTTCTTAATAAATTCATGAATTGATCCTTTTATAGTGGAATTCCCTTCATAATAATATACAGCTTTATATATCTAGAATGAAAAGTTAGGTGTTCAAATCGTGTATGAATGTTTTACCAGTTTTATTGATGACAAGTGTACCTATTTCTTGTGAGATATCAGACAAAGAAGTAAAAATAAAAATATAACAAAAGTAGTAAATCTATAAACTTCAAATAAGTAACATAAAATTAATTTAAAGTGATTTTTTTTCATTTGTCAATTAGATATATAGTTTGAGAGCCAAATAAATCTATCCCATTACTAGCCCTCACCTAATGGAGTCAATGTGTAACTAACATTTTATTTTTTATCACTTATTTCTAGTCCCATTAAACATATTAAATTTAATTACTGAATAAGCACAGATACATTTATGTTTTGTTGTAATAAATGATTACATGATACACAGAGATGCCAGATATTTGTGATATATTAAAATGCAAACCTTTCACATCACTATTACATTTTTTTAATAACTCAAATTGAAGGTTCAAGGGTTAATAAGTTTAACCATATTTCTTTTTCTTCTCATTCAAATGCCCTTACTATAGTACCTGTGGGATTTGTATAACAGAAAAATATAGGTCAAACCTCATTTTTTTTAATTTTGGTAATTTCTGAGAAATGTTTTAACATACATTTTTTACTTGCAATCTCTTTTTCTAATTATTTATTTTTTCCACTTTTCAGAAATAGTCTATTCGGCAAGGCATGACAGTTGATGTGATAGACTGCCTGTTATGGAAAGATATATTTAGACAAATTTTAAAACACATATTTTTCAACTGGCGAGTAACTTGTCCCTTATAGTGAGAGGCAGTGGGTATTTCCATTGAGAACAAATTGTGATTTCAAAAATATTAGAATTGTATTCAATTTATGCTATTTTCTGATATATATAAAACAAAACTATGTGCACTTTTTTCACAAAGAAGCCTTCATAAAAATTTTTTTTCCAAATATGATAAATTAATTTTAAAGAAAATCAGAGCACTTTATTTTCTGAGGAAATTTCCATTCTTCCTTTAACTACCTCACAATGAAAAACCAAGAGACACTAATTGTAACTACAAAAATTGCCATAGATTCTAGGAAAATATGGCTTTGGGGCAGATATTTATCAACATAGTTTACTAATGAAAAAATCAAAATATGCACATCAAAAATTTCACCATACCTATCATCTTAAAAATGTTTATATTTGTCTTCCCTTTCCCTCAATATTTTGTCTTGCACATTTTTTCAATTCTGAATCTCCCCACATTATCAAGTTGTAGCTCAGAGATTCACCAGAAACCTGAATGAACTCTTGTAAACATGGTGTGAATTTATTTTATTTATAAAGCCAAAAGTTAATTTCCCAATATCTAAATCCTTATAGGAGTAGCAAAAGGGATATTTTTGTATTTTATAATAAACCAAAACTTCTGTTGCTGATATTGCAGTAGTGCAATGGCTTAATGTATATAATGATACACTTTATCTACTAACTTGAAAATGCTGACAATTTAAGTCACTGTGCTTATTAAATTTATAGCTAAGTTTTGACCATATTTGATGTATAAATCTCATATCAATTAGATAAGAGCATTAAACATTTTTAAGATATGTTCCCTTATAACTGAGAAAATATTTAGAAGAAGAGAAATTTGACAATTTTCAGGTAAAGTCTACAAGTAATTCAATCACTTATTAGGGTTCTCTTCTTCGACATAATTTTTTTAAAAGCACAAGGTATTAAAAACAAATTTATAATTCATCCTGGTATTATTCACAGTGTAGATATTTAACAAATGAGGGGGAAAAAACAACAACTCACAAGTGCCCAGATTTCCCTAAAAATACTTCTAAAAATATTAAAAATGTTTAAGAACATACAACTAAAAATGTACCCATATTGTAAAATAGAAAAAAGTATCTTTTAATCTAATAAGATAATAAATAAAATTGAAAATATGAATTTTTAAAATCCACTTCTTGGCTCTTTAAGCTGTGATTAATCAGTTTTTCCTCTTGTGATGGTTTATGCATACTTTCACCACGTCTCCTTGGACTTCTGCCATATCAAACCAATACATCAATAGTGCACTGAAAAAAACGGAAAGCACCTTGACAAGGCTATAGAAAGGAAGTGCCACAGAGCAGTGGTCAAGCTGAAGAATTTCACACATGGAACCAGGTGCAGTGGAAAACTGAAAAAGCTTATGTGATTCTCTGTGCAGCTGCCTCCGTGTTTAAAGCCCTTCAATGAGCAAGATTGGTGCCTGCAAATGGCTTAGGAAGAAGAAAAGCAAGAGGGGGGTGGGGGAGGGAAATAAAGAACAAAAAACAAAACTATTCAGAAAAGAATAAATAGAAGGCATATCTAAATAAGTAATTACAAGGTAATGCTAAGATAGAAAAAGGAAGTGGAAATAAAGTAAAAGTTAGAAAGTCTAAGCAGGTGAAACGCTAAACTAAACATTGTATATAATACAGTAAGTAACAAGGTACAAACTGAAAGAGAAAATTCAGAATATTTATCTTTCCAGTGTTATTTTTCCTTTATAATCTAACTCCCCCTCACCCCCCAAAAAAAGTTAAGTGGAATTGGCTTATTAGTATGAATTTTTTTTTTAATATCCTAAACTTGGAAATTGTTGTGTTATAAATAATATTGAATCCTGATAAAGATGGATTTTGCAAAACTGGAAAATGATTAATACCTGGCTTTGCAAAGAAATAAAACAGATTTATGAGAAATGAGCTTAACTTTGTGGAAATATTCTAGCTACTTGGTGTGAGGTTTATAGTACACAGAATAAGTATGAACTGAAAAAAGTCATTAAATAAATGTATTTTAATTTTTTGCCTTTAAAGTTTTATACTTAAGAAAAACTTCAAAATCATTCTTAGAATAAAATTAGACATATTAAATCTGATTGCAATTCAGTGCACAAAGGTGAAATTACTTCTAAATATAAGTGATTTATTACAATCCTAAAACAGCTATTATTGTGCCCTGTATGTTGTAGCTGCCCTGTGACACTAATGAAATATATAAATGGATTGGTAATTCTGTAACACTTTTACATGTTTGAGAACTTACAGAAAGATAAGTATAAGAAAACACTTAACTGTTTTGATATAAAGAAAAATAAAAACTGCCTTGCTTTTTAAAAATGTTTTCTAGCACACATTTTAGCATTTTGAAATTCCTTTAAATGCTTTAACATCTCAAATAATTTGAAAGAAATATTACCAAAATGGCAACCCTGAGTGCCTGTGAAAGAAAATAGCTACTTGGAGGATGCATTGATAAGAATACATTCTCATCTATTTTGCAAATGTAGCCCTTTTTGCAGATGTTTATTGGTTTCTCTTTCTTCTGTTGGGTTATTACGGCTCATTATGTCTGAGGGACTAAGCTAATTGAAATGTTCATTGAGACTGGAGTGCTACAGAAAAAACAAAGGGGGGTAGGTAGGTGGGAAAGGAATAAAATGCATCCAAAGAAACATGTAGCACTCTTTTTTGTGTATTAAAACATTTTGTTTTAAAAGTTTTAAAAGGCTTACTGTTAAATTAGAAATTGCAAAAAAAGAATCGGAACAAGCAATCCTACATGTATGGTTTTTAAAGATAACAATAAATCATATGCCATATATAAAGCAAAAATGAAAGGGACTTTGTACTCTCATATAAACTTCTGGCAAGATCTGGTTTGTTGTCAGGTTCCCAGACACTAAATAGATGCTCTGTTCGCTTAGCGTGAAGGCCCGCAAGGGGCAGGGACCTCCGGGGATTCTTGGCAGTTCTCAAGTCTCATTAGGTCTGCATATTAATGACTTGCAGCAATATAAAGAGACCCTTGAGCAGCCTTTTTTTCCCTTCCTCCTGCCTTGGGTTTCCCAAGGCTAAGGCAGCCACAGACACAGCCCACATTAGCCAAGTGAGAGGCTTGCAGCAACCACTGCCGCCAGGCCACCATGGGGTGTATACTGCCCTTTGACACACTGCCTCAGCACCATTCAGAGGTCCATCAAGTACATTAAGAAACCGGTGCTCTCGAAGACTACTGTTACCTTGAAAATAAGAACCCTATTACTCCATGGTTATATTATCAACCGAAATAAAGGTCAAATCGTAAGTGAGCCAAGATGAACCCAGAGTTACTCAAATGACAGACTTTATTAGAAGTTATAAAAGTTGACTAGTCTTTATATTTCCTCATGCATCAAATAAACACAAAACTAGATAGTAAAAGTAAAAAATTCAATAAGCATCCTTAATAGAAGAAATCCAAATGAAGTAGAAAACCAGAAGTTTATGAAATTATTATTTTCGTTTTAAGGTATGTATTTTATTTCTCTTGTAAGAGTTTCTTTTAGTATTAATAATTAGAGTTATTAGGATATTATACAATTTAAATATTAAATTTATATAGAGAAAAATATAGTAAAAAATATATATCCTATTGTAACCACCATCAGTGACTATAATTAAGTCCATATACAAATACACTCAAGGTGTTGATGGTTCAAAGACAAAGACCCTATGGAAAATATGAGGAAACCTAGGATGCATCAGAAAATATACAATATCACATGTTTACTAATGTCATGAAGCCCAAAGACCCAAGATTGGAAACCCCGCTTTCAGTCTATTCATGACTTTTAATCATCATTCCTTCTCTCATTCGACACTTGGTGGTGTGTAAAATGCATTGCTCTGGAGAGCAAGAAATTTGGATTCTAGTCTTCAATCATCAATTTATCCTCTTGTGACCTTGTGCAGGTCAATCAATTTTATTCATTTTCAGTTACCTCATCCATAAACAAGTCTAATAATACCTTAATTGACTGAAGACTGGGGACTGGCCCAGATGAGAGATTATGGCTTTTTGTATGCATTATAATTCCATTCAGGAACATTACTTAAAGAAGATAGTATTTCTTATTCTAATACATTCCACAGTGAATTTCTAACCTTAACTCTCCAAAGGAACATAACACTTTTACAATCCTCTTTGTAAATAATTATCAACATAGGATGACACTATTTTTCTGTAGAGTTACTAGCATTAAACTTACAGAAAATTAGCTAGATTTATTAAAAACAAAACAAAAGCAAGAACAAAACTATAAAAGTCAGCATTTAGATTGCCCTTTGATCACACTTACCAGCTGACTGGCCTCTGTTGGTGGCATCATGATCACTATCTCCCTGTTCACTGTCTCCATGACCACTGTCCTTAGAGCTTACTATGTCGGCTTCCTGGAATGCAGAACTAGAAGCACAAAAAATGCAAATATTAGAATAAAAAAGGTGAAGAAACACAGAAAACATTCTTCTGCCACCATATGGTCACAGATGGTGCTGCACATTCACAGACCTCTTGGTTTATGTCTGCATGAAGCTAGTTTTCATAATCTAAGTCTAACTCTTTAAAAATTGAGTGTTAACAGTCAATTTGAACACTTAAGGCACGTAAAGTTTAAGCATTATTCAATGATTGGAGCTAAGTATATGTTTATAACATTTTCATAAAACAGATGTAAATATACATCTGGAAAAATTAGGAAGATTATCAGAAGCCATGTGGAAGTATAAACTGACAAAATATTCCAATATATTTTGTTACTTGTTTATAAATGAAATACACTCTAAGTATTGTCTGGGAAACATAATATAATTGGTATTTATGTCCTGCTCTAGTTGGAAGTAATATATACATTCTATATTTCAATTTCAAATAATATACCTATCTCCTACTTTTCTAGGTAGTAAATTGTCCATACAGCAAGCTAGGGGGGAAAAAGTCCATACCTGTTAACTCGGCGAGGTCTGTCAACTAGATAGCTGAGCTCTGCTCGCTGGTGTTTAGTCTAGGAAAAAATAAATAAATAAATCAAAAGCATTTGAATGCTAAGGGTTTAACTAATAGTTTGCTTTTGAGGTTAGAACCTATATCTAGCTTAAGAAATTGTGTACATTTTTTTATGAATTTCCAAGTTCTTCTAAGACCTCTACCTGGTTATTGCTGGGTAGGGAGGGGGAGATATGCAGAGACACCTGAATCCATATTTCAGTAAGTTGCAAAGTTAAAAATAAATAAATAAATAAATAAAAAGAAAGAAAACAAGTGGCCAACTTTAAATATGTTTTCTTAGAGAACGCAAATGACCTCATAGCTAGGGCTCATAAACTTGTCTCTAACAGAGCCAACCTCCTTATACTCTGCAGTCTTTCAATGGCCTAAAAAAGTGTTTAGGTGCATACTGGTTGACACAAGAAAAACAGCACGCTCAATAAGCAAAAAGTTTGGATATTGTATGGAATTATTTTGTTGTTTATTTTCAAAATGTAGTTAAGATACAAATGAGCTGTACAAATATTCATGAAAGTCAATTAATAATATCTAAGACTCATATAAAAGTAACCTGCTAAGAAAGGAGTTCGTCATCCTGCCCGCCGCCCCCTTCCCCCAATCTTTTCCCCCTCCAAAGGCCTTGGGGAGGGCATTCTCCTTCCCGCCTCCACCACCCACACGCCTTTTCAGGTCCAAACTTTCTTTTACACAAACCAACTCTGTTCTTACCCAACCCCAACTTTTCCACTTCCCCATTTTTTTAAAAGGAAAACTGCCACTTCTCCATTTTTTTAAAAGGAAAACTAAATTGACAAGCCAAATTCTTTGATGAAGAAAGCCAACAACAGTGATTTATCAAAAACAGTGGCAAGAAGGTGATTGTTAGCTAAAAGATATATTTAAGACATCCACTTCCCCATTTTTTTAAAAGGAAAACTAAATTGACAAGCCAAATTCTTTGATGAAGAAAGCCAACAGCAGTGATTTATCAAAAACAGTGGCAAGAAGGTGATTGTTAGCTAAAAGATATATTTAAGACAACAGTTGTTTAAGCCTTTCGTTGGTTTACTCTTAACAGGGGTTTGTGCCAAAGCAACTTCATTCAAATTCACACTGTGTGGGCGTTCGGCTTCAAAAGCGTCGGTAAATGCTGTCCAGAGCAGAACTGAAGGCTTTTTTGCAACCCGAATTCACAGGACAAGAATCTGATAACTTGTTCACTACAACATGCATTCGATTTTAGACAACTGTGTAAAGTTAAACAATCTATAGCTTACTTGTACACGCGATTGAAAGCATCATCGATAAACAAAGCAAAATAGAATTGACTTTATTAACGCCTTAGACAGACGCAGAGAGAAAAAGACCTTTGCCAATGCTAGAAAATCCCTCCTCCACATTTCCTTCTCCCTCCTCCACATTTCCTTCTCCCTCCGCTCACTTTCCTTTTTACTCCCAGGTTTCCGAGAAGAGAAAGCACTGACAGGGGATTAAGGTTTTAAAGGAAAGATGGGCGAGGGTGTGAGGAAGCTCCAAAGTGACAAAGCACCAAGGGGAGGGAATGAAAATAAATGTGGAGGAGTGGAACGCAGAGAATTAGGAACAACGCGAAAGTTAGGTTACACGCGAAAAGAAGTGAGAGGGTGACCCCCATCCCCACCCCCACAACTATACAAATAAGCCAATACCCTAAAAATAATACATAGTGCACCAGAGATACAAGGGCCGAGCTAGAGGAGGCTTTCGGATGGAGGAGATGAGAGATGGTGGTCCTTTCGCTTCAGCCTTACCTCGTTGGACAAAATGCTTCCGTTTGAGATGATGTCGGGCTGCTGGTCGGTGTATCCAGTGACGATGGCCCCGCAGGGGTTGTGCTCAGTGTCCGTACTTCGCGAAGGGCTGCAGGGCTTAAGGAACATCAGGTCGGTCTTGGCGGACTCCGGGGTCAGGCAGACCTGGTAGCAGTAATTCTGGCTGTGGTGGTGGGAGCCAAAGGCCCCAGACTCCTCCACCGGCACCTGGGCCGGGTTACTGGGTACATTGGAGCTCTGCACTAGCATGATGTCCGACTTGCTGAGTTTCTTCTTGCGCGCCCGGGCTTGGCGGCCGCAGCAGGTCGATCCCCCACCGCCGCAGCAGCAGCAGCAGAGGCAGCAATCGCTGGCCAGACACGTGTAGATATTAAGTTTCTTCTCTTTTTGGCAACGCACTGCCAACACGATCATGGCCAGCAGGAAGATGAAAGACACCGAGCCCAGTGCGATGATGAGGATGAGGGTGAGGTCTAGCGAGGTTTCCCCGCTGCCAGAGCGGCTGGGGCGCTGATGCTCCCCTGACCCTCCTCCTCCGCCCCCGCCCCCGCCCTGGGGCTCCACGGCGCCATCCACCAGCTGAACCACCAGGGTGGCCGTGGAGGACAGGGGCGGCTGCCCGTGGTCGCGCACCTCGATCACCAGCTCATAAGGCCGCTGGGGGTCGCGCTTGGTCGGCACCCGGCGCGCTGTGCGGAGCTCCCCGGTGCGCCAGTCCATGCGGAAGAGGTTCATTTCGTTGCCCCGCACGATGCTATAGGTGAGCCGAGCGTTCTCACCGTCGTCCGCGTCCACCGCGGCCACACGGGTGAGCAGGTAACCCGGCTCTGCCGAGCGGGGCAGCACCTCGCGCGACGGTGTACCGTTGCGCCCCGGTAGAGGCGCCACGATAGCAGGGGCGTTGTCATTCTGATCCACTATGAGGATGTTGACGGTGGCGTTGCCCGCCAGAGCCTGGGGGCTGCCGGCGTCCCGGGCTTCTACCTGAAAGCTGAAGTCTTTCAGCTGCTCGTAGTCGAAAGAACGCAGGGCGTACAAGTAGCCGTTCTCAGAATTGATGGACACGTAGGTGAAGACGCTCATGCCCTGGATCTGGCATTCCAAGATAGAGTAGGCTAGCTGGGCGTTGGCGCCCTCATCGCGGTCTGTGGCGCTCACCGCGTAGATGTAGGCGCCCGGCACGTTGTTCTCGGTCACATACACATCATAGACCGGCTGGCTGAAGCGCGGCGCGTTGTCGTTCACATCCGACACGCGTACCTGGATCGACTTACTAGTGGAGAGTGCCGGTTCGCCCCGGTCCCGGGCCACCACGGTCAGGGTGTAGGAGTCCCCCGCCTCTCGGTCCAGGGGGGCCTCGGTCACGATGGTGTAGTAATTCTTGAAGGAAGACTTGAGGCGGAACGGCACGTCCCCCAGCAGCTCGCACTGTACCTGCCCATTCTCCTCTGAATCGCGGTCGGTGACGCTGAACAGGGCCACCACCGTGCCGGGCGCCGCGCCCTCGCTCACCGCCTCCTTCACGGTGCTGAAGCTGATCTCCGGCGCGTTGTCGTTAGCATCCAGCACTCGCACCAGTACCTTGCAGTGCGCAGGCACGGCGTTGGGGCCCAGGTCCTTGGCTTGCACATACACTTGGTAAACCGGGCTCTCTTCATAGTCCAGCTCGCCGCTCACCTCCAGCCGGCCGGTGCGCGGCGAGAGTCCGAAGAGCTCCCGCGCCCGGGGTGAAATGTGGCTGCTGAAGGAGTACACAACCTCACCGTTCTGGCCCTCGTCCGGGTCTGTGGCGTTGAGCTGGATCACGAGCGTGCCCGGGGGCGAGTTCTCTGGTAGGGACACAGTGTAGACGGGTTGGTCGAAAGCAGGCACATTGTCATTGGAGTCCAGCACTCGTATGGTGAGTAGGGCCGTGCCCGTGCGCTGCTGCTGGGGGGGCAGGCCCACTCCCGCGCCGCCTCCTCCACCTTCTCCTCCTCCCCCTCCTCCACCGTCCACCGCGGTCAGCACGTAGCGGTGCACCGCTTGCTGCTCTCGGTCCAGTGGCTTCTCCAGCACCAGCTCGGCAAATCGATTGCCATCCCCTTGGGTCTGCACGTCCAGGGAGAAGTAGCTGTTGGGGGTAATCTCGTAGTCTCGCAAGGAGTTGGTGCCCACGTCTGGGTCGAATGCGCTCTCCAAGGGGAAGCGGGTGCCCGGCGTGGCGCTTTCAGAGATTTCCACCGTCAAGTCCGGCTCCGGGAAAGAGGGGGGATTGTCATTAATGTCCAGCACTTCTATCTCCACCCGGAACAGCTCCAGGGGGTTCTCCAGGAAGACCTCCAGGTGCAGGACGCAGGAGGGACTCTGCTTGCAGATTTGCTCGCGGTCGATCTTCTCGTTCACGTACAGCACCCCGGTTTCCAGGTTGAGGTCCAAGTAAGGGGTCCGAGAGTTGGGCACCGTCTGAAACCTGCGAGCCGAAAGTTTTGTAATGTCCAAGCCCAGATCTTCAGCGATATTTCCTACGAAAGTGCCATGCTCTTGCTCCTCCTGTACCGTGTAGTGTAGCTGGCAAAAGACTCCTTCCACCATCCAGAGCAGGGCAAAGAATAATAGCACAATCATCTCCAAAAGGAAAGGAAGTAGCTTCCAGTAGCCAGTCAGCCACCCAATCACCTCCCCCCCCCCACTACTCAAAAAAAAATTTTTTTTTTCAAAAAGAAAAATACAAATAAAAGTGCACTACGTAGAGACGTGGAGGGCTTGTGCAGCTTTCCGTCTTTAAAAAGCGTATTTATTTTGTTTCATTTTAGAGATTCCCCCAAACCAGCTTCATTTTTCAATCTTTGCGCAGGAAGGGTGACAGGCGTCCCATTTCCTCATCTGTAATCTTCCCACTGACCAATTAATAAAATAATGATAATACAATAGTCAGTGTCCTTTATTCCGACAGTCTTGGCGCAACGCGGCGCTGGCAAATCCCAAAGAGGAAATTTCGGTATTTCAAGACTGTCCTCGGTTTGTCTTCTTGCTGATGGGAGGAGAATGAGGAGGAGGAAAAGGAGGAGGAGGAGGAAGATGAAGAGGAAGAGGAGAAGGAAGAGAAGATGCTGCTGGCAACGCTGAACATGCCTCTTAATGTCTACGGCTGGCAAATGCAAACGGGCTTAAAAACAGCGAGAGAATTTTGTGCCGGAAAAGCACAGAACGGTTCTGCAGCATAAAACTTTCATTCTCTTCATTTTTCCGGATGGATGTTGTTCTTGACATTTTTTCCTCTTTCGCTCTATTCGTATTTTTTGGCTTTCATAGTCTTGTCTCCCACCGTCCTCACCGCCACTGTTACTTGCCTCTCTGTAGGTGTAATGAGCGGTTTCTTTTCTGCTGTTTCCTTCCCAAGCCTCTTTCCCTCTAACCTGTCTCTTTTCCTTTCAGTCCTTCCTTCCTCCTGCTCCAACCTCCGATTCTGTGATCTAGGCTGGCAGTTTCTGAGCTCCGAGCGCTCGGCTTCTCTGTTTTTGCGCAGCGCCCCTTTCAGTCCTTCCTTCCTCCTGCTCCAACCTCCGATTCCGTGATCTAGGCTGGCAGTTTCTGAGCTCCGAGCGCTCGGCTTCTCTGTTTTTGCGCAGCGCCCTCATTTTGCCAACCAATCACCGAGGAGCACTACCCACCGACCTACGTCTGATTGGCCTAACCGACCGTCAAACATACACGTCACGGGGCAGCCTGGCAGGGAGGGACAGAACCCGGGCCCGGGCGGCCAGGGTGAGTGTGAGTGTGAGAGCGTGAACAGCCCGGCAGGTCCCGAGGCGCTGGCTGGGGACTCTGCCGCGGAAAGTTCCCAGTCCCCAGCCGCAGGTAATGGGGAGGGAATAGAGAGGTTCCCCTGTTTGCATCAGCAAATGAGAGAACATAATAGCAACAGCTGCGGTATCCTCTCCTAGGAGCGGGGTTTCCAATGATGCTAACATTCTTTTTCCTTTAAGGTATTTTCCCTGCGACGGATCATGGAAATAAATCACCAAGAAGGGGAAAAGTTGCACAGAGGCCACTAATTAGAAGGGGTTACCTAATTAACGGACTCTAGCAGAAATTGGCAGTACATTTGAATAGTGGAAATGACATGGCATGTGTCAACCTAAGGTTATGCATAAGAGGGAAGCGTTTGGGGCAGGGAGCGGAGGGATTCACGTTAAGGGATGTGGGTGAAGGCCCTATAGACGGGCACACGCGTTAGACGTTGCTCTGCTCTCCCTAAATGTATATCCATAAAATTCTTACCACATAGATAACTGGCTTGAAGACCTGGCTTCGATCTGTGAGGGCATTGATCAATGACTGAGGGGTTTCATTTGAGCTTCTGCCTTAAATCCCGCCATCGAACGCCCGGCTCTGGGGCAACCGACACAGAACACCGCTCGGCGCTGCAAGGCGCCTTCGATATCCCTGCGCCTCATCCGGCCAAGTGCCGAGCGGCGGCAGGGAACGCGGGCTATTTTCTGCCTTTTTTTTTTTTGACAATTGGAGATCCTGCTGCTATGCTAGACTGGGTCACCGATTCCGCCCAGCCTGGGGTCAGCCCATTGGGTGAGGACGGTGGGGCGGCCGTGAACGCGGACGAGGTGGCGGGCAGGGGCCTTTGCACACGGGGTGCTCGAGTGTGCGCCGTTGCGGGTATATGCGAACACGTTTGCACATTCACGATGCTCGCATCCATCCTCTCTGTCCCTTGTTCTGCTCTGTGTAAGCCTCCACGGAGACTCCCTGATTTACGATGGACGCGCGGGACCAGCCGTGAGTGCCCACTCCCGAGGCGCCGGGGCGACGCGGCGCATCCGCACACCCAGTTCTTGTGAAGTTAGAATACAGCAGGAACTCTTCAAGGCTAGAGAGTGGGTGGATCGCCAGTTCTCCAAGAAAAGATATGTACATGTATATTTTTAACTAACGGGCTATTCGCAAGGACTAGGTTGTTTATTCACTTAAAGCAGCCCCTGTTTAGTCTCCTTGAGCCACAAGATAGGAAGGTCCCTTGCGGCTTTCTGGTAATGAATGACCTAAGAGCAAGACCACCACAACATGCGGGGAAAAGGAGAGTCGTTTCCCCGACCTCGAGGTACGTTGCCATCATTCCCTTTCGGCAGGGAATGAAGGCGTGATTGTGGATTGAGACCGAGGCGTGCTCCTGCGAGTCCTGTGAGTGCGTGTCTGCTGCCCGCCCCTCCCCCCAACTTGGCTCTTTTATGGAGATGAGTCCTGCCTTTGAGCGGTTGGAAGGAAAGGATGCCAGCAGAAATGGCTAATCCTTTTCCAGCTGCAGTAAATGTCTGACGACTGGCCACAGCCAAACGAAAACCGCTGCCGTTAAAATGATTTTAGCCTCACGTCTGCGGCTAAGAATGGAGCGGCGGTGTATAAAAAGGACCTGTGGATCAATGAAAAGATTATAGTGTATCTGAATATTAATACAGTATTGCATCTGTACTTCCCACCCCTCCCTCCTCTCTTTTTCTTCAGATCTGCAGGACTGAAGTGAAACGTTTTGAGCTTCAAGCCGAGTCATCAAAATCCCGGCGCTTTTAAAACTGACGGTAATTTTCTAATATGTTCATTTGTACGCCTGGAAACACTGTGTGTGCGCGCGTGTGCACGCGTGTTTACGTGTGAAAGACATGCTGCTCAATGACAATGCAGATGCAGAAATTGTTGGGAAAGAGGGTTTCTCTTCCCGTAATGTAGATG